TTTTATTTTGTTTGCATTTCGAACCTGTAAAATTCTTCTCTGTGCTATATTCAAAGTTTAGGTGTTTTTTTGAATAAAGATATTATTATATTATTATTATTATTGTTACCTCTTAAAGTAGGTCAACTAAAGCCCCCCTACGGATGTGATATTAAATGTATGGGATCGTTTAACGTAAAAACTTTGGGTATTTCTAGTTTTATTTAAAAAAAGTTATTGATGTCGATTTATTGATAACTACTTTCGATATCAGTTTAAAGCTTTTTGATATCTCTTATATTTATGGAATAATTGCCTGGGCACACTTATGATTAAACCCTGTATGTGCCGTTAATGTAAATGAGAAATCGTCGTCCTACGTGTGGCAAATACTTGGTCTGTCAACAAGTTGAATCTTACCTGACGGCTCGTTCCTGATCCTCGTCTCTGGATTCGATGTGACGCGCTCTGGCTTCCCGCTGTAAGACTACATCTGGGTCCTCTACTTTCACAATGCCGGCCGCCTTGAGAGCCTTGTCTTCTGGTGTGTCTGTCCAGCTTGACCTGAGTAAAAAAGAAAACATATAACATTTGGAAGTTTTAATTTTAAAAATAAGCTTGTATTGATAAAATCTATATACCTATCTGACATATCAGGCCCCTCTTTAGCTCTGAAACTTCTAGCTTCTAAGCCCAAGTATTTAGCTTTGGCTTCTGGCAGTTCCAACATCCACTGTTCGCGAGACTTCACATTTGTTTGCTGTAGCGAGTGTCCATCTAATTTCCTAATTTTCATATCCAAAGCTCTCTCTTCCAGTCGCTTGTGTGCTTCAGACCATTTACTTTCGGTGCCAGATGGCAATGGACCTATGCCAATGTCTTCATCGGAACTTTCATATGTTACAATTACTTCTCTTTCAGGATTTGCTAAACCTTTCCGTATATTATCGGGAATCGATGGCCCTGTGGAAGAATGTTTAGTCGTTAAAATAAATATTGACTAATAATTAGAAAAATAATGTAGCAACCCTCTTAACTTACCAATATTCCGATGCTTCTGCAAATGAGGCGGCAGGGCCGGACCTTCGACATCGCGTGATGAGCTCCGTTTGTGTTTTTTCTTTAATTGTGGTGGCAGCGCCGGACCACACATATCTTCCTTAGATGACGACTGAGTAATGCTAGGATCATGTTTAGATCGTTTTAATTTATGCCTTAAATCTGTCGGATCAATTGCAATTTCATCTTGAGAGTCATCATCACTTGTTATTTCTCCTTCTTCGCTACTTTCCTTTTGACTGCTTTTCTGTGTTGAGGATACTTCCATGATATCAGTTCGTGTATGCGGGACAATCTTGTCAATGTCAGTGGTACTACTGACTTCGACAGCGGAAGCATCTCGATCCCTGTCTTTACTGGACTTAGAACTTTTTCGTTTATGTCTCTTCTTATGCTTTTTCTTTCTGGTCTTTTGGAGTTCTTTTTCCAAATTCAAAAGTTTGGCCCTGAGTTTTTCATCATCGGATGAGTCTATTTCACTAGATTCTGACTTCTGTTTAATAACCGAAGGAGATTCCTCTATTTTATCCTTAACTACAGCTGGTATCATGTTGTAATATGAGCCAGGTTGCACTTCTACTGATTCATCACTACTAGCATGTTCCTCTACTATAATTGGACTATCACTTTTTTTTCTTTCCAGCGGTATGGGTTCAGGTTTATGAATCTCGGATCTCTTTCCCCTGTGCTCAGGTGAGGATGACTTATCTCTTGATCTTCTATCAAATTTATCCACTTGTTTATGTGTAGGAGGAGAATAATGTTTGACTTCCTCCTTTAATTCTTTTTTGAGTTCTGGTGATTTATGCGACCTGGACCTGGAGTGTCTATGTTTGTCTCTGCTGCTGCTTCTTGGTTTAGATCTATTCCGAATGTCGCTATGTCTTGGTCTTTCTCTTGATCTATGCTGTGAGCTCCGTTCCCTGGAGCGTCTATGAGGAGTTCTTTCTCTAGAATGTCTTCTTTTTATTGAAGAATGTCGCGAGAACCATTGTTTTTCTTTAGAGCGCCTTTCATATCGCTCTCTTTCATCCCTTCTTCTCTCGAACTCTCTGCGAAATCTATCATTTTCTGATGCTCTGCTTCTTCCTGATGACCTATGAGAGTCTTCTTTTTGATTAGAACTCTTTGTTTGGGCTTCCTGGTTTGATGTGCGCCCTTTGAATCTACCTGTCTCTGAATCACTGCTTGATTCATCAGAAAGCATATTGGAACCTAAAACCAAAAAAGGAGTAATATTAGAAATTAAAATCAACTATTTGATTACACATAAGACATTTATTTCTGTACAACTTCTTTCTTATTGCACTAGGTATGTAAAACATTTGTATTTTTAAAACATTTTAGCAATTTTCTTAGCACTATATTTAACTGATTTTAAGAATCCAGCAGTAAGTATCCCTTTCAAAGATTGTCTGACACTTGACTGCCAAACCAGATCTTTGAGTATTTGTCTCAGTATAACTGCACAGTCAATATCATAGGCAACTGCACGGAGAACATCTTCCATATCCTGTTGAAGACCACCACGGTTCCAAAACTTGACTATCCTTTGTTGTGGGACCATAGGCAGCTGCATCAGGTGGTGCAACTTTGTTTCTGGGTTTGTGTCTTGATGGCATTGAGCATTTTCAGTGGAGAAGTCAACATAGGCATGGAATTGCTGCAAGATTGGCCTATATAACTCACGAAAGTTTGCTAATTGAGGTTGGACAATGTTTCTTACTTTATTTTTATTTTCTCCAAATGTCATTCTGAAATCTCCAGCATAGCTAAGGTTAGATATAGCAAAGTAGAAGTCATATTCTGTAAATGTCTCTGGTAATATGAGGAGAGCAGTGTGAACTGCAGATCGCAAATTGAACTGAAGAGCATTTTGTAGGTGTGAACTGTTGGTCTGTTTTATGATTTCCACAGGCTTGTGCAGCCGACCTGCTACATAGAGGTTATCCCAGTCTAGCAGGTCAGAAATCAAGTCCTTCTGTGAAATAACACCATACTTAATTGTGATATTCTCTTCCTTTAGTTCCACAAGAGTGTTGAAGTACACTTTAGCTCCCCAGTTCTCTTGGAATCTTGCAACAAATCCCTTGCCCAGGAAACGAAGCGCCGAATAGTGAGAGGGGTTTTGTTGAATGTTAGCTCCATGCCAGCGGTACGAATTGTCCACACAGTAGATCAGATCAACCATGCTGTGTTTATTCTGAGTACCCATTTGGGGCTTAACTGCTGATCCATATGCGAAACAAAACGTGAAGTTCTGAGGAAATTTTGATAATATTCTATAATACAAGGGAGACACATCTTTGGCGATGCCCACTACTTTCGCTATTGATACTGCCATGTTAGTAGCTCGTAGGTATACAAATTAATAAAGAGTATCTGCTGACCTTTGGGCTAATATTGCACTCGAAGTTCAACAAAACTTGATAAATTTCATCGAGATCTTCGAGCAGTAATAGATTGAGGTTGGGTAAGTATTGTGCGTAGTTCTTGTTCAATAATTTGACCGAAGTTAAAGGACTCTTCGTATTTGTGGTCGGAACTTGTTTTAAAGTAACGAAAATCTTAATTTTTCCGAAAGAAACAACTTCATTTTCCAAATTCACAACATTCACAAGCAAAGCAAAGTAAGCATAATATTTTTTTTTTAAAGTACCATTTTTCTCTCCTTTTTCATAGATTTTTATTTTTTTTTTAATTAATAATTTTGGCTTGGATACAAGTCCTTTGAGCCATGTCTTCGTTTAATTATGTTTCTGTAAATATGGCCGCCACAAAGAGGATAGGCAATTAGAAGCGGCGTGCTTGGATTGACTCGGGATTCCTTAGAACGGGCCGATACGGGTATTTTAGTTCGAGATTCGTATAATTTCGCGTTTTAATCTTCGATTAAGGCACAATAGCACTATCCTATTCTATTTTAAACTAGATTAGATTTCACAAAATAATTGAAAGTCAAAATAAAAAACGACACTTTTCCCTCCAAAAAGGCCCAGCGCGAATTTTCCAAAGATTTAATTTTCTTTTTCGTTCAGAAAGGACAAGTAGTTAGGGCTACTCATCTCATTTACTGTTGGGCAATTTTCCGAAAAATTTAAAATAGCGGACATATTTCCAGAAAAAGTCCCGAAAAACTGGAAAAATTTCAAAAATTGGAAAAAATATATAACTTGGAAGGCTGTTTATATGTCTACGTTTAGAAATATCTATTGAAGTTTTATTTAGCGTGAATTATAAAATATAACTTGTATAACTAAAAGCCACAGAGAAAAACAAGATTTTAAATGATTTCACAACAACGAAAAACCTTCAACAATCAACCATACCACCACTTGTTGTTGGCTCCATCGTTTTCGTTCAGTAACTTCAACTTTCCACAGGAATCAATGTCAAATGTGGTAAAATATGCAAGACAATATTTATTTTTCTGAAAAATGGAATTTTTTGTATGACTTAACACAATCTCATTTGTCATGGCATGGCATGGCTAGTGTTGGGTCATGGAAAAATTTCCGTTTCGAAAAATTCATATTTTTCAGAAAAATTATCTATATTATTAATAATTATCTTGACACCTTTCGAACGTTGAAGATAGTGAACGATATCGATGGAGCCAAGCCATTACAACGTTTTTGGTTTACATAATTATTTTCGCCTTGGTCCATTCATTTTTAATCTCGTTTTACTCTATATACGTGGGATTATTTTGCGAAAAATTTCAATTAGAAAAGTTCCTGAAAAATTGGAAAAATATAATTTCGAACGCTCGTATTATATTCTATGTCTAGAAATTTGTTTAAATTTCATTTAGCGTGAATTATAGAATATACTTGTACAGATAAAAGCCACGTATGTGATTTATATACTCCCGGACTCATAATACGAACCACTTCGCAATTTTATCTTAAAGGGCTGGAATACAAAAGTAGTGTTATCATCGAAGAAACAGTTTTTCCCCGGTTTTGCAAATCCAAATTTCCAACAAGGATTTGTGGAAAAGACGTTTAGTATACTAGTTTCAAAATTGTTTAATAATTTTTGATCAATCAAACATTGTTTAAGTTTAGGGCATTTAAAACTGAAAATGCGAGGTGGCTCGAATTATGTGTCCGGGAGTGTATGTAATTTTTCAGGACGAAGATAGAAATGTGGTGTAAAATGTAGAAAACGCAATAATGTTCGTAGTTAGCAAATATATTACTTAATATGTTAAAGCAAGTTTACAATTTTTTCGTCAACAAAAATCATTTCACTTGGCAACAGTTCAGAAAAATGAGGTGTAAAATGTTTTCACAACAGCGGAAAAAAACTTTTTCCCTTCGATTTCGTTCAATAACTTCAACTTTTGACATGTGTCAACGTCAAATGTGTAAAATTATTGGAAAAATGTCCGGAAAAATATTATTTTTTCCGAATGGAAATTTTTCCAACACTAACTCTATGTAACTTGCTTTTAGCTATACAATTATATTTTATTATTCCTACTAAATATAAGACTTCATAAGATATATTTAAAAACGTAAAACATAATATGTGGTTTCGGATTGTATTTTTCCGATTTTTCAGAAATTGTTCCAAAGTTCCCTTAGGTATTTGATATATTTTGGAAAATTACCCAACAGTAAACTAATGTGACACGGGCACCATACAGTGACCCTAGGACAGTATTTGTCTGGTATCAAACAGTAGATAGCGCTTGAGTAGAGTAATACTGGCACTGTTTCCTTAGGGTCGTATTTCCAGTGCTTGAAATTATACTCAGATCCTGACATGAGCATTGAGTAGAGTTCTGGAATACGGCCCATAGAGGATAAAAAAAATAAACATAGTCGACTGTTTCCATTGACCTACCACTGTTTCAGATTTTATTTGTCAGACTTTGTGTGGCATGTCAAAACAAGGAATTTTTACTATTTATATGAAGAGGCTGTATGGTGGAACCTTTGCCTACCCAAATAAATGTGTGAAAATAAAAAAGTAAAAAATTCATAAAAATTGTGTCATACGGTAGTGAAATTTTTTGTGGGTTTTTCTTACTTATTATTGTAATTTTCATATGAATTTTGTAAAATACCTACTTGTAATTTAAATAATTTTAGTTTAGTGTAAATATATTATTAAGAGTCGTTTTAATTGTTAGCGCAGAGATGTCGAGCGCGGACAGAATTGACTTTGAAATGGAGGTAGAAGTGGAGAGTGCCTCCTCGGGACCGGCTGTAGATCCTCCTAACCCCACATCTCCAGCTCCACCGACGATCGGGAGCAAGAGCGTAGTGACCACGGCTACAACTGGCTCTGTCACTGTATCTCTTCACCCTTTGGTTATTATGAACGTTTCTGAACATTGGACACGACTACGGGCGCAAGAAGGATCTCCACAGACAGGTTAATAGTGTTAGTTTAAATATGTAAACACGTAGTGCAATTAAATTATATTTTTGTACACATAAAAAATGAAGAAAAATCATTCAATACTGCTGCGTAACTCATTCGTAGACAGTACTTAACATAAGTACTACTACACACCAAAATATCACTACATTTCTATGTGCGATAGTGCATAAATTGATTTAATAGAATTATTATGCTTTATCACTGACAGTCATAATTAGGGCTCAGATAAATATGCAGTATAAATTACACAATATGCGTATATAATATGGGCAAAAAATCTTAAAATATTGAAAAAATATGGAGATGAACAAACTTTCATGTGGACTATGTTTATCATAAAAAAAATCAAGTCTGCAAGTCAGTAGGTCACGTCTAAGTTGTCTTTTAATCTTCCATACTGTACATTGTTATTTTTTTAGGGTATTAAAACCTTTACTTTTTTCAAGTAATATGCATGTAGTCATATTTTTATGTTTAATTTTATGGTAAATGCCATTACTGTCCATGAACATTTAATAAGCTGCCTAATCGGCTTTCCTACATTCATGTACTTATTTTTATTCCAGTTCCGCACAAATACCTCCTATTTCAAAATTGATTGTTCATAATGTTAAGTATGTTAATACCGTGAAAACATTATGGAAATGTGTAATTATCCCTTTTCTAGTTATTGGAGCTGTAATTGGCAAGCAGAAGGGGCGCAACATAGAAGTGATGAACTCATTTGAATTAGTCTTTAGTGTTATTGATGGAGACATTATCATAGATAGGGATTATTACAATTTGAAAGAAGAACAATGTAAGTATATTGAATTGAATATTCATAGAATTGTATCTATAACTGGTTGAAGACTGTACCACCCCTGTCAACCATGACTATGGGACCTGTAAAGGGCCCGTAACGTCGGTTTGTTTGAAAAAACAAATATACACGATTTAAATCCGGAAAAATAGTTTCATTTCCTATGTGTAACAATCGCGAAAACCTAAGAACTCGATTCATAGAAATAATTTAAGAATCGAAACAGGTGTATATATATACAGTAATAATAATAAATAATATAGTTTTATGATAATAATGCATACACTCATACACGCACGCACTCAATGTAGCACCGCACTAGGGAAACCTTGTGTCGCGGGTGCGATGGACACACACATAGACAACCACAAATTACACCCAAACTCACGAGAGAAATAAATGTAGGCCATACAAATATTTCTCCCGGCATGCGAATCGAACCTGGGACCTCTGCGTGGCAGTCCGGCAGTCGAGGCAGTTAAATAATATATTTCAATTTAATTCAATTCATTTATTCATTTGTTATTTATAATGTATGTTGTATATGAAGAAAATTTATTATTATTATTAATACTACATAAATACATAGTAATGTATTTATAAATTTTCTTCATAAACAACAGTTGTTCATGAATTGCATTATGAACTTAATATTTTACATTAGTGTAATATTTCTGTTAGATCAGTGTAAAAATTTTATTTAATCGACACAGACATACGAGAGATACAAGGTATTCCTAACAATTTTGATATTGTGGAGTCATAGAGCAACGCAGTATCTCTATAGTTCAGTTAGTTTTCATCCATCACTTTTAAACATATTTAGTCTATAATTTTTTTTACCAAAATCGTTACGGACTATGTGTCTCGAAGACGCATGATGGCTTAATAAAGGCAATACAAAGAAATCCAAATATTTACGATTTTTTAAATAAATTTTATAAATTTCATTGTAAAATCGTTTGGAAATTCTTACTTACAATTATAGTAAACTAATATTATGAATGAAATTTAAACCAATCTGTAAAAATATTGTTTCCAGTCAAACAAGTATTCTCAGACATGGATTTTCTGGGTTGGTATACAACAGGTGACACTCCCACAGAGCGGGAAATTGCTGTACACAGACAGATCTGTGACATCAATGAGTGTCCCGTCATGCTCATGCTGAATCCCGCTGGAAGAAACGGAGATGTGAGTTTGATGGATGTAAAATTACTTTTTACTATTGACTTTAACTAGAAATTTCAATTGTTCAAATCGTCATTTCAGCCAGATATAAAATTAGTAATTGCATTTTTTTTTTTAAATCCTGGTTCCCACAGTTAGTATGAGCACAGTCACGTAAAGTCTACCTGTTCATACTGCGTGGATATCAATAGTAACATGAGCCGTTTTTACCAAGGGTATCTTTTGTAAAAATCTGAAAAATACACCTATTCCACTCTACTTTTAATTTCTGCTCAATCAAAATAATGTCTAATTTTTTTTGCTAAAAACTATTAATGATATTATTAATATTATTAATGATATAAAAGATTGAACAAACAAAGAAAATACATTACATCCGGCTGGACTCAAACTAGTAACTGTTTGCTATATGGGGCTACCATTGTCTCATTTGAGCTATGGAATGAGTCACTAGAGCATACGAATTTCGCTGTGCTTTGTGCACAAGTTTCTGTTTTGGGTTTTAGATGGCTATTTTGCAGTAGAGCATTTTCACAAAAAATATGAATATTGTGGTAGTAAAAGTTCATATTAATCAATGAAATAAATATTGTTATAATATGTAAACAATCCAAATTAATTTAATTTAAAGAAACGTGATTTATGTCACTGTACTCAATAAACATCATATTTATCTATTCCATCAATTTCAGAATACAGGTGACTACATAATAAATACTAATGATGTTTCTTTAATTTCATTTTTATAATTTCAGCAACTACCAGTAGTTTTGTATGAATCTGTGATAGATGTAGTAAATGGCCGTGCCACAATGTTACTTGCACCTCTTACTTACACATTGGCTGCTGAAGAGGCTGAGAGGATTGGGGTGGACCATGTCGCTAGGGTTTCTTCAGGAGAGGCAGCTCTCAATAGTTTAGGTAAGAGTGTATTAAAGTTGCATAATACAGAAACTAGTTTTACATAGACTAAGTTTAATCTGTATAAATAATATTGCTTACCAAAGTACGTTCGGTAATAAACTTTTAACATTAGAATTAGAGTAAATTATACAACTTTTATTTATTAATCATATCTTTTATTCATGAATCTTAACAAATTTGTTACAGAAGCCCTGTTAAAGTTGGAATGTACAGTATTGCTGCAATTTACAAAGGTCTTTTATTGTTATCAGTGGCTGAGCATCTAACAGCGCAGCGATCGGCAATCAAAATGTTAGTATCTCGGGTGCGAGCCGTGTTAGCGACGGTACGCGCCATTCGAGATGGCACACTCCCCCCGCGTCCTGCGCTTTTGAGGGAAGCGCGTGCGCTCTCAAACAGGTTACCGTTGCTCACTTCACAGCAGTTCCGAACACATTTCTATAACGTAAGTTGAATTTTTAACTTAAGTATATTGAATAAAGTTACCTTACTTTCTTTAAAAAAACCTTTAACTTATTAGCATTTTTTTGTTTTACAGCAATGCAACGACGTAGCGCTAATGACCTATCTGGGAACGATCACGAAGGGTTGCAACGCCATCAATCAGCTCGTAAATCGGTTCAATGTGTTGTACGACAGACAGGGCATGGGACGACGTATGCGCGGCCTCTTCTTTTAGGGCGGACATTAATACAACAGAGCATAGGGCGAGTGGAAGATATGTGAGTCACTTCTCTTTGTCCACACTCTTCAAAACATTTGGTAAATATGAAGTGTGCTATATTAGACTCAGTGTTTAAAATATAGACTTTACAAAATCTGTTGTCTATTGTTTACTGGTATTTTGGAGACGCCATCGCTTAATGTAATGCAGAATCTCAAATTTATCTATGCTATGATGTAGTGTTGTTATTACCAGAAAGTCAGTGAGTTCACTTGATGTTTTTAACATGATTCTGTAATGTGATAATAAAAGGAACTAAATATACGGTTTTGTAGCGTATATTTTGACCAAATGCTTGTTACATATCACTGAAGTTCTTTTTAATGTCGAAGTTGGTCATCTAATTATATACGCTAGTATATGGTAACACTTACCTACTTGTTATGTCATATAATGTCTTACAAGTATGTTTGTCAATTTGTAGCTATATATTTTTTTTCCATATGTCATTGTATGGGACACTACAGATATCAAAGATGAGTTGATGGCTCTTTAACAGTAAACATACTTTAATTAATAAGACAATTAACTTTCCAATTGTATTTAACAACTTAACTGAGATTTAATATTTTCCATTCATTCTATCCTCGAAGCAATGTTTTTTCCGGTTTTTGTGTCAGCATTATCAGACATGTTATTAACTCCGCACATAAAGGAAGCATAGAGGAAGCATTTGGTTATTTTATTTGAGTGATTTGAAAGACGTTGGCTCGTGCAAGCGTGACTGAATTTTGTAATGCATTATTGTAGGTTTGAAATAAAAAAAATGTATATTTAATCTTTTATTTGGCAACTATCCAAATGTTAAATGAAAAACTTGTCATAGTTATTTGGTAATTGGAGTAATGAGCGATCGATCATTGATTGTTGTTTTTGATATTCTTTCTGTTACGGGAAAGGCAAAGGTTTAAAACCATTCAGCCAAGTCTTGGTGAATTTTTCGTTTGTTAGCTTCAGGTAAATAGGGCTACACCAAGATTGCAGTCCATTATACATATTTTATAGGCATTAAACTTCGTATTCGGTGGGTCGTCAATAGTCATCATATGATATCATAATAGAGATCATTGGTATTTATTCAGGATTAGTTGTAGCTATTGACTATTATAGCAAACCCTTATTTTTAATTTGTTTTTTATAATACCAAGTAACGAACTCGTCTGTCCATAACAGTTGTAGTGCCGCTCAGAGCTTTAAATCGCAAAGATCCGAGGGACACTGCTACTGAGCCCGTCACCGTGAGACGTAACCCTTTAAATCGGGAACGCAGTAATATTCACATTACTGCTTGGCGGCAGAAATAGGTAAGACTACGACAATGTCCTTTCTGCGTAGTCAAGCGTAGTATAATAGTATATAGATATACGAGTAATCTCTTATCTGGGATAGGATCTTATTTTGTAAAGGAATTTATACAAAATTCTTTAGTGCAGTAACAAAATCAAACACTACCCTAGTGACGCAATAAATTTATTCGCATTCACTAAACGAATATTTCAGTTTATTACACAAATTAACAAATCTTTGGACACATTGAGATTCTGCTGTGGAAGACCTTGTGTTCTACGCTTTGTTCCATTGTGAACGATAGATTGATAAGTGAACATGAAGACTGCTCTATAATTATGATAAATACGGTTACCTTAAAAACGAAGTTACATTAGCGAGCAAAGCATTGGTATTTTCTTTTGCGTTATTTTTGGCCTTATTTTATTGCTATTTGCTAAATGTTCGTTAGCTAGATTAGTATTGTTCCGTTCAATGCGTTTTCTAACATAGATGAAAATATTTGAGGATCCCTCCGTTTTACATACAAAAAATTGGAAATTTAACGTAAAACTTTTTTAAATCCAGTGACCAACTATTTACATTGTAAGTATATTATCATTTCTGTCTGCTACTTCTGAGATACCAAATATATAGGTAGTACGTAAAACATCTGAAAGCTGATTAAGATAAAACGAAACGAATACTTAATAGTACAGTCTTAACATTAGCATCGATTGATTACCCTAGTTTCAATAAAAAATAACGTAAAAACAACTGAGAACTTTATATTATTTATTTAACGCGCAATTATGAAGTTTACGAATTTGAAAATTAGGAATATGCAATACTTAGAAGTATATAATAATGCGACTCAATGCTAGTATTGCTTTCTTATTGAATAGTAAACACTATCTAAAAATTGCACAAAATTTGTAAATAAGACACGGCTGTCTAATCACATTACTAGGATATTGAGTTAATTATATATATTTATCTATATCATAGCATCAATGAGTATGAAAAATAGTTTACAAAAAAGTATCCTAGACAATTATAAAAGAAATAAAATACGCGATAATCAGAAGTAAGAAGCGCAAGTGGAGATATGAATTCTCAAGACCTTTCGTAGGAAAATATTTAGATATACATTTTGATAAGTATATGATTAAAAACATGATAAAATCTTATGATTTAAAATAATAAAAACTTGGGCAACGATTTCAATATTTTATATTTATTAGATAATCATGTTGGACACACGCCATCACTGACTTTACTGAAGTGAAACGTCACTTTTACTTGCATAACAAAGACTACTTATATTAGTTCATAGTAGTGGATGTACAGCACGACTTGCGGAGCGACTTATAACCCCGAATAACTTTTTTGTTATAAACAGAATTGAAAACTCGCTACAAACGGGCCTAGTCACTTATATGTAAGAACTTTTTCACTGTTCCCAGTTCCATTTTACTCTTATTATCGACCAACTACGTGTATTTTATTCGCATTACAAACAAAATTGAATAAAGAATTATTTGGTTTGTAACCACGCTTAAGAGGTTACGTAAGGTTATAAACGATTTCGCAAACCATGGTCTAATGTTTTTCTTCGCACTTGTAGATGTGCATTCGCATAGTAACGCTATATGTCGTCTGGGATCTTCTCAATGCCGATGAGTTCGTCAAACAGCGAGTGGTTGTCTGGTATGACATGCGGCTCGTGCAGGGTTTGTCGCGCGAATTTGAGCACTGCTTTCGTCAGCTGTCCTACTGACCATTTTCGATCTACTATTACACGTACGAGGGTGTCCAACTGTAAAAATAAAATACATGGAGAAACAAGGACAATCACACAACATTCCTATTGGTGGTACACTTAACATTTTCTATTTTCGATTATACTGTTTTATAACAATCATATTATCGATTTAACGACGACGACTGGAAATATTGAGAATCAAATTATTTTAGACCCGAACTTCATTTTCCTGGCGCTTACCTTAAACAACTTCTCATTGCCAAAAGTATAGTAAATGAGTGCAGGTACACCAGCGACGCTGGCAGCCAACCATTGCAGTATTAACTTCAGCTGCGGGTGTCCACGCTGCTTATGTCCGCACCCCCAGTTACCCGTCGCGACTGGCCGGCAAGACCCACCTGATGTTATCTTGAGGGCTAGCTGGTTCAGCTAATTAACAAATTGTATTGTGTTAGACGACTGTTAACGGTATTAATAAAATAGATAAAAGTTTCGTCTTAACTAATCTGGAATATTTAGATTTACTAGACGAAAGTAGTCGAACTCATATTTGTAACTTCAGTTCTGGTAGAGAAAAGAACCTTAAAATAACGGAATTCTAGAATGCAAATTGCAGATGTACACTGTGTATAAAATGTTGGTGTTAAACATGGAGTTCTGCTAGAGAAAAGAACCTCAAATAACGGGATTCGAGAACGCAAATTCTCAGATGTATACTGTGTATAAAATGTTGGTGTTAAACATGGAGTTCTGCTAGAGAAAAGAACCTTCAAATAACGGGATTCGAGAACGCAAATTCTCAGATGTATACTGTGTATAAATGTTGGTGTTAAACATGGAGTTCTGCTAGAGAAAAGAACCTTAAAATAACGGGATTCGAGAATGCAAATTCTCAGATGTATACTGTGTATAAATGTTGGTGTTAAACATGGAGTTCTGCTAGAGAAAAGAACCTTCAAATAACGGGATTCGAGAACGCAAATTCTCAGATGTATACTGTGTATAAATCTTGGTATTAAACATGGAGTTATATGAGATTTTAAAGTCGTGTAATGTGTCGGTTAGAGGACATAAAAAGGTAATAGTGTTGAGATTAGAATAGTTATTCAGGTTTATTGCTGTAATTTTAACACAGTGTATTATGACATCAGTTACGTATCATGCAACACACAAATTATATGTTTCGACAGAAAGCAAAGAATGACACAATTACATGACATATGTATTGAATATTTATATAAATTGTTAGTGTTAAATCTTTATAATATTGAAAATTAGCGACAGTCAAAAACGCGTCTGACCTTAGGGGTTTTTATTTTTAGAGTGACGGGTTCGCATTCGATTGACTCTTCTATGGTTTCTACTATCAAGTTTATAACCCAATTGAGTTTTTTCTTTCTAACGTTGGGGTTGAATATCTGCGTAGAAGTGGACTCTGTAGAGGTATCGAGAGACCGCGAACCCTCGCTATCTGCCATTTTGTTTTCCACGCTTCTTGATCGCGTACTCTCTAATATCTCCTCCGGTATAGACTCTTTTACTTTACGTTTCTGTCAAAACATATAAATATGTGAATCTATGTTTTTGACGAAAACTGCGTGCACCAATGTGATAATAAAATAAAGTATCTCTATTGTTAGAATAGTTAAAAATTGTTTAATAATGATTACTTAACAATTTAGGACGTTTTGTGTTAACTTGTCAATTGCCAATGCATTATACTATAACTTCATGTACCTGAAGGTTTGTTGATGATTATGTGGTTGATTTTTGATCGTTATAAACTATCTATTTACCAACTGTGCAGCAAGTCGATGCCTTTGTCTTGCTAGCTCAAGCGACAAGGAGCGGGCGGCAAGTGCTAGTCGCCTTGATCCAGTGCGGTTACTGGTATCTCGACCATATAACTCCGCTGCTTCAGCCGCGCTCGCCGCGCCTACATTAGTACCCATCGCCATAGATTCGCTTAGGGTACGTTTTAGCAGGGATCCCGCAAATCTGTAAATAGATAATCTTGCTACTGCAAATGCCAATTTCATATTAGGATTTTTTTTAAAGCCCCGCACTAAGCAAACCCTGTATCGCGGCCGCCATGGACACATGCATAGACAACCACAAATTACACCCAAAGTCACGAGAGAAATATATGTAGGCCATATAATATTTCACCTGGCCCGGGAATCGAACCTGGGACCTCTGCGTGGCAGTCCGGCATGGTAACCGTTCGGCCACGGAGGCAGTAGGCAGTGGGCCAAATTGGGATTCAGGTTTGTTCAAGTAGTTAACAGTAGTAAATAGTACATTTCCTCATTAGATGACTTAGCACATAGGTTGCCAAACTTTTTGGCTCACCGCCCACTTAAGCAATAAAAAAATTTCAACGCCCACCACATAATTGAAAACACGTTTTTTTTATATTCACTTAACACAGAAAAATCACAAGGAAAAAAGAAAATTAAAACGTAGTGTAGTTTATATAGATAATTCAGGTATATTTTTTCAAATGCGGTAGTATTCCTGGACAGCATCACCGTCCCCCAATTGCTTCCGAGGCTCTACCGCCCCGTTAGGAATCTTCAGCGCCCACTGGGGGACCACTTTGGGAAACTATGACTAAGCAGGTCTCATTGAATTTTGTTTATAAGTTGTGTGATTTGTTCAATAAATTGGCGTACGAGATATAACTTAGATGAGTCAGTTTTAAGTTTTGCATTATTATTTTCGTAATTTCCAAAAAAATGATTATCAAACGATTTCGAGTTTCAATTTTTGCAGTTTAACTGCTATACTTTTTTACTTTTATTGTTTAACTTGTACGTTTTCACATCCATTACTCTGATTTTCTTGATAGTACCAGTTGTTCCATTGTTTTTCGTCTTCTTCAACTTAAGTCATTTGCGGTTGACAATGGTTTGTTATTTTACTGACTGCTGTGCTTTTCTTTTGGTACGAGTTTTCAAATAGTTCTCACCTTATCACAGCCATGTCGCGAGGATCCAGCTCTCGTGATTTGTGCTCCCCTGATTCAGCGTCTACGATGGGGTCGTTCAGCCACTGGTTGAATTGCTCGTATACTTCTTCTAGTTCTGACCTGTCGTATGAGAGTTACTAGTTAGCAACTGAAATGTTCTGTCTGTAGTTAATCGAGCTCAACTAGGGCAACTTTTAGGACATGTGTACATAGTTATTGCAAATGAAAGGTACTTACGTGTATTCTGTACTGAAGCTATACTTAGAACTATTCCCTGTTTCTTTCCGGCCCAGTGGACGGTGTCTCGGCGACGGATTGCCGTTGCATACAGTCTCCTTTTCCGTAAGCACGAAACCCACTGAACCACCTCGCTTCACCCTGCAAATAAAGTTAAATTCTTGCTAAAATCCGATTTAAAAGATTTTTTTATTAAATTTGCATCTTTTTGATGCTAATTAACAATTGCAGCATTTTCAATGCCATGGTGACATTAGACGCAGAGGCTTAAACATGATAATAAATGAAGTTTATGTGTTTCTCACTTACCTAATATCATTATCGTTAATACCAGCACCAGATATACTGACTCCGACCGCATAGCTAGAACTATCCGTGGACCAGTCGCCGGTGGTAGTGCTAGTGGTGCATGAGTTTTCGGCCTCTCTTCGCAGAGCTTCACGCAGTCGGTCTGCGAAGCTGATTCGCCGCTCTTCGGTTGATAACTCTTTGGAGTAATGGAATGAATTGGGGCGTGCGCTTTCGCCTCGGCCTTCGTCTTCGCTGCCTGGTGTCCAAAATTATATGGTTATATAGTTAAAGAATACAATTGTTTAAACATTACATCAAACATTTTAAGGTTTTACTGTTTTCTTATTGCGTTGTCACCTCACGTATGTTGTATAAACCAGCTTTTTTTATACTTCATAAATTCGTAATAGTATAGGAAATGAAACAATTTTTTCCGGATTTAAATCGCGTAGGTATATTTGTCTTTTCAAACAAACCTTTTACAGGTCCCATGGTCGCGGTTGACTGACCATGAACAGTCAACCGTTATCATGGGACCTGTAAAGGGCCCGAAACGTTGGTTTGTTTGAAAAAACAAATATACGCCATTTAAATCCGGAAAAATAGTTTCGAAGAAGAAGAACTCGATTCGTAATTGTATTTTTGAAAGAATAAAGAAAGACATAATTTGCTTACCACATAGACACCACAAAACAGAATAACAGACGTAAAACATAAATAAATAATTGCAAAACAAACTTACAAACAATATTAGAAATAAATAAATTAAAACACAAACCAGTTCACATAACAGGAACACTATGTATAAAAATACTTTGTGTGGTAACAAAAGGATCACTAAGTCAGTATTTGCTGGAAAACGCAATGCGATCCCAGCGCTGATTTTCAGTTTTTTGTTTTTCCTAAGTTTTCAGGCGTAGCTCGTAGTAAGAATATACATATAATCATTTACCATAATCAAAGCTATCATTGGCACTGTGGAATTCATCGTCGCTGGAATTGCAGCTCGAGTATAAGCTATCTTCTTGCGTATCTTGATTTGTATGTACTGGACTTCTAGTCACTGGAAGACATTCTCCGGATGAACCTAGGACTATGAACCTTCCTCGCCGATTATTTAGGGTAGCTCCGTCAGGCGAAAGCCAGCACTTTCGCTTTGATAACTCTACACCTGTTTGAAGAAATGAAAAAGCAAGTTTATTGGAAGATTATTTAGAAATAATACGTCATAAAAGTGTTTTTGTGGATCTTTCGAGGGTTTCTGCATTGTTGCATTATTTCCGTTCTTCGTAATGTGAACAGCTGTTGAAGTTGTTACTGCACGTGGAACTCGCATTGAAAAGAGTACATACCTGTAATTTTGTTTAAAATTGCTTACTAGGATCGTTTATGTTGAGGGTAGCAGCGCAGTAGTTTTGTGGCGACGGACTTCTGCTGTTGTAACTGTTGATAGTACTACAGGACGATGCTTGTTTTAATATCACTGTTGCTTCTACTTCTGGAGGCGTGTGACTGAAGGATTCTCCTTAAAAGAAGAGGAATTGCTTATTTGGAGTAGGTAGGTACGTTTGTAAAAACCAATGAAATCATGAAGGCAAATAACAAATCTTTTTTGTTTGTGTACCTAGTGTGATATGATCTGAACTAGTGAATTGATCCTAGTGTGGATAGGATTCAAGAGGTGCCAACGAATATAACAAAACATTCATGATTAAAACTAAAATTCATAAAAAAAAAAGATTATTTATTTCAACGCACAGATCGCTTTGACGCCTGTACAGTCTGTACCCCAAGATATATCTGTCCTCCTAAACCACTTTTTGGTTCTAAGTATGTACAAAAGTAGAGAGAAAAGTGTTATACAAACTTAATTTTAAACAGCAAAATTCATTTTCGTATGATTTACTGACAATATTGTCTTTTGATTAAACTGATCAATTTTTATCGAAACCGCAACGTCTATCCAGAGCTCCCTCACTCGCTCAAGGTTACACGATAAGTGCCTACCGCTGAGTGTATCGACGTCGACACAAGTGCTCACAGCACAGACATAAGATATATGTCTGTGGCTCAGAGGGTGTTGTACGCACATCTAAATGGTCGTACGGCATGTCTACCTTTTCTTGCAAAATCCTATATACTCCGTAAAAGAATTTATGGACTTTAAATTGTAACGAATTCAGTATTTTCTATTTTTATTCTAATTTTTACCGCATTAACATACTCTTGTATAATTGTTATCAACTTATGACGATCCTTGATGGAGAATGATATTTGATATATAATTTAATGGCAACAATATTATATAATGAATTGTTAATTTTCTAATTATTGTGTGCTTTTCTTATAATTTTCCTTTTTGACGATCTCAATATAATTTCTTATACTTTGACATGTAGTGCAATTTATACTGTAATGTTATATTTGAGAAATAAATGAATCTGAATCTGAATCTTAAGAAAAAACGTCGTAATGTGGAAATCGCGTAATTATTGTTCAGTGGATGGGTGTAAAAATAGGAAACCTGACAATAAATTATCATTTTTTTCATTACCGAAAGACGAAGTTAAATGTTATTTTTAAATATTTAAAATCATGCCTAATCTACGAAAATACCTACTTAAATTTAAATTATTTGGCTTTTAGTGTAACGTGATATTACAGGGACTTGTCAACTTATGTGTCAGGGTGACGGGCGCAGTGCCCTTCAGATCTTTGCGATTCAAAGCTCTGAGTGGCACTGCAACTGTTATGGTTAGGCGTGTAGCTTATCATCAGGCGCATGACTTGGTCGTCCCGTCACTTGAAAGTATAAAAAAAAGTAAGCGAGATTCAAGCAAATGACTTTCGAATCGTTTCTTTCTGTATTCTACCGTTCTACTTTGTTTTTATTGTACCTACTCACTTTTTATTATCGGTACCTAACCTACGTAAGGACTTAAAAGATTTTATTCATGTATTTTTTTATTGCTGTAGTAAGTAAACTAGACTAATCTAATAATCATCAATAAAAATCTGATACAACTTATTGGCCACAATGCCGACAACCACGCCAATAGCCTGGCCTCTAACTAGAGTGTTTCCTGTACTAGAGTAAATAATTTCACTTGGGGGCACAACTCAACATACCTCTATGAGCGCTTGATTAGGTTCTTTTTTCCTCGTACTGAGCGCTTGGTGTCATTAGTGAGATTTAGTAGGCTACTATAACGTAGGTATTTTCGATTTTGTATGGGAGTGATGTATCTGTTACATAGTAATTATTAAGTAATCTCTGGTATATTTTAGATAATAAAGTTGAAATTCCTTTTATATTTTCCTGATGATTGCGTAAGATTGTTCTCAGAATCAAGAGGTTGGTTAAGGAGTCTTGTGGCACGGACTGTATGTATCACTACCTACTTGCAATTTGGAGATTATGCCAGGTTATGTTTGTGAATGTACACTTACCGATAGGTGATAACCTTCTTTCGTGTCTCGGGTTGTCTCTACTTTTCATCGGCGTTTGTTGGAAAGCTAGAAGGCATTTGTTCAACTCTCGAAGGACATTGTCTTCCTCGAACTGTCCAAGAGGAAGAGCGCTGTAGTCTTCTGCATCCATCATGCATACTGTTACCTGAAAAATAAAGTAAGTTTTTGAAAGGTCTGCTTACTTGCCACTTTTTATATTGATATATCTCAACACCTGCAATTAACACTACGCTAACTTAAAAATTACAACTTTTCACTAGAACATATAAAAGAGATATTTGCGATATTTTTTTAATTTTCATATATATATTAATGATTTTTTTATTACAAGTTCGTCATCATCATATCAGCCGAAAGACGTCCACTGCTGAACATAGGCCTTCCCCAAAGATTTCTAGACAAGCCGGTACGGACGCGACGTGCATCTAGCGTTACCCGCTTCCCAAGAGGTTACAATTAGTTACTATTACAAGTTATTCATCATAAATTATAAAATACATTTACGATGATTACTTTTTGTACTAGTTTGTTAATTTTTAATTTAATTTAAATTAGCTGAATAATTTAGCATTAAAAACGCAAAATCTACAAATTCAAGTTAGTGTACCTTCTGTTAATTGCTGGTGTCATATGCGAAATATTTGGCGCAAAGAAATCAATTTTATTTACCGTTTTTGGTTCATTTAATAATTCTATTTTGGTCTTCTGTTTTTTGTCACATATTCGGCTGAAGGTTCTGACGCCTTCTACTTTTAGCACTTCATTGTCTTCTAGAGCTTCTACAGACAGCATGGCAGGCAGGAGTTCTGGCATCATGAACATGGATAGAGATTCCTAAAATTAAATTAAAGTTAGGACGTACGTAAATGCTTTATATTATGGAGTAAACTGAATAGATCTACCTACACAGCTTTTCGTGATCTTTAAAATATCTATACCTAAACTTACTCAGTTTGCTATTTTTGTATAAGTGGGTAACTACTGCTAGCTGGCAATGTATGTGAGAAGAATTCCTTTATTACCTGTGATTCACCATCAATAAGAGCGTCGCCGCCTATCCTGCTGCTGGCAAAGCACACCCTGATCGCATCGTCGTTCTCGCAGCGTTCTGGTCTACCTTCATGGCGCACCAGTAATTTACACAGCGGTAGAGTGCATTCTAACCAGTCCTCAATTGTTAACCATTGCTTTGAGGTCATTACCTGACAAGTATTAATAATAATATCATGAATACTTATTATTATTTAATATTAGTGGGCTTGTGGTAAGGGTGACCTTAGAGATAAAGTTTATTAAAACCGTTAAATACCTGTCGACTAATTTTGATGGATCCTTCATTATTGTTCTTATCTAACCACTCGAAATAATGCAGCAAGCTTTTTAATTTATTCCTTTGTGATTTTCTGCAATGAAAATGAAATAGTTACTTTGAAATACCTATCGTAATTGTTTTAAATAAAGAACATAGTAATAACTAATTTGGCTGCCTTCAATATTGTAAAATTGGTAAGTATCTAAATGATACCGAAACTCGAAGGCGGATTCCAAAGTATTATTGCTATTGATGCATAAATATGTAAATAAATTCTCGCATATTACTAAATAAGTGATTTTTGTGAAATATTTACCTATGTAAATTTTTAAAAAAATGTGTAAAGTTGAAGTCTTGTAGCGTGGGGTGAGTTTTGAGCGTCCTCTTGGGAAAGGTGGAAAAGAAAGAATGAGCAACGAGAGACGACAAAAAATTGTAATCCAACTCTGTTACGTCACCTGAAATTTAAATAGAAAATTAAACAAAAATATTCACTTAACTCTTTCTTAGACAGCACATAAATAGCAAAGCACACAAAAATGTCAGTACTTTTCTTGCCTTAGTGCTTAGGTATATTGATTTAATATAAAAAGTTCTATGTAAATATTATGTAAACGATTGAATTTTGTCTGTACGTTGTTGCAGTAGGCGACAACTACACAGAAAGCACTTGGAAATCGCACAAGTTTTTGACTTCCATATAGCGAATCGGGGTGTCCCGTATTATCATATAATATTTAATTTTCTGGTAAACGCTGTTACTCTCCTTGAAAGCGTATGTAGCATGTAGATAAGAAGTTATATTTTCAAACCATTCAGTCGGTAGGTGTTCTGGTTTTCAATACTTCAAATTACGATACCACAAATTAGTCGTAGCTGTTTTAATTCTCTAGAGCAAAGAAACTACCATTTTATTTATAAAAATCATTCTTCTATTAACTCACTTTGTTGCTGTAAACTAAACATAAGGCCTTTGGGTGGGCGCCATCTTTTGAGATGCAGCGCCCGATTCACCATGATTCTGATGGTGTTGTCGAGGAAATACCGCCGCTCCTCCTCTGTCATTTCTTCCTCGAGAAAGTTCTCTAATCCCTTCATCAGCTCCGGGTCTTTAATATCGTCATCTGGGTCTATTCCTATGCTGTAAGATATGTGGATTACTTTATTGCTTTTAGTTTTGTGTAAGATTTCTTTGACTTGAGTTGATATTTGTCAGTGACGATACGAAAGTTTCGTAATACACCCAATTCATAGGTAAAAGGTGAAATAACAGTATGGCTCAATTTACATAGCCGCGGAACGGAATGGAAGCAAATTTTTATAACGAAAGTGTGTATTGCAAAATGAATTTTATTTCAATAGTGTAACGAACTAGATCAGGAATTCCCAAGACTGCGAGAAATCTCTGGAAGACGTGCGACTTGTTTTTCGACATGTTTCTATAGTTACCATAATCTCAGTACAGATACCTACTAAAAAAACAGACCTCAAAAGTTCGTGAAATTACATCTATTTACCAAGTACGCGAAACCGCATTCATCGCCTAGTTTGCCACCTTTAGAAGTGGAATATTCTCTTCAAATTTAAATTGGACCAATACTGAGGTACCCTCTTTCCAACAAAAAAGAATTAGCAAAATCGGGTTATCTCGTAACTAAAACGTAAATTGGGAACCTCCTCCTTTTTTTAAAGTCGGTTAAAAACTCGCTTTCATTCTGTTCCGCGGCATTGTAAATTGAGCATTAGGTACTTGTTTTTCAACATCGACATTGCAGCCGAAAGACGTCCACTACGTACATAGGCCTCTCTGAAAGATCACCACAACGACCAGTCTTGTGTTTTTCGCATCAAGACCTGATGGGTGGTCAGCCCTCGCTGACTTTTCCGGTTAATGGTCGCCACTCTAGAACTCTTTGGCCCCATATCAGTCGTTCATCTGTTCTACGTGCAATGTGTTCCGCCAAGAGCCACTTTAGCAGTTTAGCAATTCTTTGAACTTGTTCTTAACAGCGCGGCCTAAATCATTTTGAGACATCTCCGCAGGTGAAGCACAAGCAATTTCAAATGTTTTAAAATTGAAAGTTATGACATTTAATGTAGATAAACTTTCGTGAAATTAAAAAAAAATTATAAAAACTATTTGTAATTTTAAACGTGGATAGGACATGCTTACTTGCACATATCATGTATCTTTAACATGCTGGCAGTGAGTTTGACCGGTGAGGAAGCGAGCAGCAGATGTTTTAGGTGCCGCTGCACCGTAGTCCACCACGGCAGATCGCAGGGGAGCATTACCAGCGCCATCCTGTTAAACCAGTAGCCAAAAAAGAGGTATCTCAACAACTGTATAATAGATTCTCCCTGAGTTGTATTCTTGTATTGTATATATGTATATGCATTGCATGAATTTAATGGATATAACTAATCAAAAATACTGCAGATATGAGAGTTTTAATACGTAGGCAACATTATTTTAGTTCGATTCATGTCCATAATGAAAGCGATAGTATCTATATTATTTGAATTCTAATTTCTAAAGGTTTGAATCTACGATAAAGTATCGATTTTTACATACAGATGGATATTAAAAGTTAAATGTGAGTTAAATTTAACTGTAACGACAGAGACTGCTTTAAATAGCAGCAACCGGCGCGGCGCAGTGAGCTCAAACGGGATCCGTGAATGCGAAAGACATTTTGTTTTGACATGGTTTTGACGTTTTCATTTTATTGTCTGTGACCGAGTAATCGTTCGTTTGTGCAGATTCTAAATATTCATCTAAGATGTGAAACTGAAACTTGTGTGACTTTTCTATGTTTCAATAAAAATAATGTGAGTTTAAACTATAAGAAGACGTGATATGCCGCTCAAAATAGTTTAAGAGGATTGTTTTATATATTATCCAGTTAATCTTCAGATACGAAATTGATAACACAGTTACGATGTTGATAAGGTGATTTCAAGTGCTTGAATAAATTTTGGGAAGTTTTTATTAGTGGATTTTGAGTCCATCGATACGATCATAAAGTTTATAGGTGTCTATTTATACGGTTAGTATTAGCAAAGAGCTCTGTGCAGGCGATGTTATGATAGGTTAGGTGAGTAGTAACAGTGGTGCAAAGTACACGCAAGTCAAAGGTCAAATTATACAAAGATGTCTACAAAAATTCTTAAGGCGTTGATACTGGGTGCTCCAGCTTCTGGAAAAGGGACAATTTCTTCTCGAATAGTGAAGAGGTATCCTATGGTTCATGTATCAAGCGGCGACAAATTGAGAGACCATATAGAGAAACAGACCAAACTCGGTATGGAGGTGAAAAAATATTTAAATGAAGGAAAACTTGTTCCTGATGAAGTTATGATAAAATTTATGATAACTGAACTGAAAAATGTTACTAATAAATCATGGTTACTAGATGGTTTCCCAAGGACCATTGGGCAGGCCAATGCTTTATGGAAAGTACAGCCTGTAGATGTTGTTTTGAATTTAGTGGTGCCTTTTGAGGTTATAATTGACAGAGTAAAGAATAGATGGGTGCATTTACCTTCAGGACGAGTGTACAATATAGGATTTAATACACCTAAAGTTGAGGGATTAGATGATATAACTGGTGAAGACTTGGTTCAACGACCTGATGACAAACCTGAGGCAGTACGACACAGACTGGAGATTTATGAATCTACTACTCGCCCTGTGATTGACTTCTACAAAAAAAAGGGAATTTTATCAAAATTTGAAGGTCGCACTTCAGATGAAATTTGGCCCAAAGTAGTTAATTTCCTTGACCCATTGTTTGAAAATGACATTAAGTCTTGAGACTGAAACTTTGTAGTTTGAGATTTTGGTGTTAGTAACAGGGTGCTAGATTGTAGTTTTAAGATCGAATTATATCTGTAAGAAAAATAAGTCAAAAGAAATGTTATGTTTGTTGATTTCAACTGCAAAACCTTTTTTAACCAACTTGAAAAAATGGAGACTCTTTTCCACATTTTTTTTGTTTTGTATATCATGTGATTACTCCAAAATTTGTGAATAGATTTTGGTAACTATTTTTGTTGGAAAATGGGTTTAGTGGTTCCATTTAAATTTGAAGTATATATTCCACCTCTAAGAGTAGCAAATCAAGGATTAAATCTGGTTTATTGAATTTCACCCACTTTCCATTAAACGATTTCACTGAATATTGGCACATAAATGTAATTCCAACAAAACATAAAATAGTGACCTAGAATTATCTGTGGTAACAACCAAAGCGGATATGCAACGTTTTGAAGTTTTTTTTATAAAACAATTGCAACTTGGCATTATTAGTGATTGATAATGGTTATGTAGCTATACATATAAATATTTCTTCTATGTAGCTTTATGTTCTAATCTAGTCTTCCATGAAAATGTAATAGATGGGATTTATTTTAAACAAATAATTATATTTATATGTATACATAATTTTAGTGCATTAGTTACGAGGCTTTCATGCATATCAGAGCACAATTCAATGGTCCTTTCTTTAAGTTTTCGAATTTATACATGCATTTGTGAACTATTTGAATCCAAGTCTATAAATGCTCAAAAGCCAATTATGACATTTTACCATGTAGCTGAATTTTTTAAGCAGTTACAGTTTTTATACCTAAAATTAATGGATTTTTATTATTATTGTTTGCAATCCGTTGTATTTGATACATGAAATATAGTTATTAGTGTTAAATTTGTTTATTTTTGAAATGAACGTTATATTTATGAGCGAACTCATTTATCATCCCGCTTGCAAGTATCGTACTTATAAATTTCCGAAACAAAAGTTTGGAGAGACACAGGAAGTTATTGTGTACGGAAACTTTGGAACACTGTTAAAACTGCATTAGTCTTAAATGGGTTTTATATTCTAATGATTTAAAAAAATTGAATTTTTATAAGTAACACAGGTACATAATAATATGATATGTAAAACAATTTGATTGATTAAGTGAAGTGAATATTCTTATTTATTCTTATTATATCACGAAATCTCTTTCACGAAACAGTCGCCGCCGTCGCATACGTCGCTAAAATTTGTAATTTATTTTTCTCGAATATTATAAGTTAATACTGTCCACTAGCATTTTATTTCCACTGGGTCTAAACAATATATATGTATGTATATAGTGAATGCTCCATTTCACTGTAATAATTTTGTACTTTAGGACCCTCAATTATTTATTTATTTATTTGAGTTGGGCAACTTATGGTTCGTGTAATATGTAACTGAAGGACTAACATACATAAGATATAATAACTATGTCGTCTTCTTTTTTTACAAATCGATGCCTTAATTTCTCAAACTTGTATCTTGTAAAGAGTTATTCAGGATATGGCAAAACTTTCTATTTATTTTAAATTGCTTATCGAGGGTGTCAATTTGGATGTATTTAAGAATAGTTAAAAGCTAATGTGTGAATATGAAGGAAGTGTAACGTGAAATCAGCCTGTATATACAATCCATTTTTTTGCATTTCAGTAGTTTTGTGCTTTAAGAAACGAGTTTGAGAAAGTAAGGCGACGAAATGGAACATGTTTGGCTTTACAGTATTTTCCTTTGCCTAATGTCTATTCTCCAAAAGACGCAGAAAATAGAATGTGGCCTAACGTTGGTTCTTGAAAATATTAATTATTTTAGCATGATTCATGCCTAATACGTGGTAAGATTCTCCACAAGAAGTTACTAATCCGATTTATTTTTGTCTAATGATTACACAAGGATTATAACCCGAATTAAAAGATACATTTGTTTTCAATCGTTTGCTTCTTGGTCAATTTTTTCTCCTTTTACATGTTCGTCAAAAATCCTCAACAACATAATAAGATATGTATATTGCAACGATGATAATAATTATAACGATTCTAGACATTGTACAGTCAATATCGCTCATTGTTTCGAAGCTAACATTCATAATTCGGTATGTTCCATAAATCCCCATGGGTGGGGATTCTGAAATTTTATTCCACAAATCCCCACAAATATAGTACTTCGTACGCACTGGGCGTTTGTGGAAAAAACTCCCATCAATATTTATTTTATATGCAAAAGTCCATTTTCAATTCAAGAAAAAAAAAAACAATCTGTGTCGTAATGTTGACGGGACGTTGGCGCGGAAAACCAAATTTGTCACCTACAAATTTAATATACCTGATATACATATACAATAATAAATAATAAGGGTAATAATAAAGCTCAGTTGGAAGAAATCCCCTTATGGGATAAGCTCGTCTTTGTACACAAATATTTTAAATTGTTTCTTAAAATTTGTAATTTACTTTGTGGTACATACAATAAAGTGTTTATATAAATAAATAATGTGTGTATTTGTTGGATAGTGGGGATTTTTTCCACAAATCCTCACTGCGGCTGCTTAGCAAGTACTACGTTAGTGAGGATTGTGGAATAAAATTTAATAAAAATTCAGTATCTCACCGGTGGGGATTTGTGCAACATACCGATAATTCAATGCTTTGTCTATTGCAACTCGTTATTTAGCAACTTGGCCCCTCTTTGGGGTAGTGTTTTCTTTCACTTTGGAAGAATGAACTTCGCAAACCAAAATGATCATTTTTACATAATCTACATGGTGTTACAACTGTATAGTGTACAGTGTTTTTATATTTTTACGAATTTCTATAAATACATACTTAATAATAAAATTTGTACGTGACTGAACACGCTATGATCAGTTAACATTTTAAGAAGCTGTACACTAAATACCTTGTAAACAGAAGTGGATCGAGGTGTTATTGATTAATTTGAACCAGGGATTTTAATTTTAATTCGCATTTTACGTATCAAAAGACGACATATTAAAAATGTGTGGAGTATGATGAGACCCGTTTCCAGCATTGGAACGTATATATTAATTATTACCGTGGGGTATACCCCAATGGTATGGAATGGTAAATTAATTGTTACTAAATTCGACAGTATGAATTTATAAAAATAATTAGGAATTTGTTGATAATTTTTAGAAAGTGAGCGCTGGTATTTTTCTGATTTCACAACAATGACAACTAAACACCAAAACTATGTTATACGTACATACATTCTTCGTGGAAACAGTTAAATATAATTCCAATTTTATACAATTGCAAAATACATCGTCGTAAATGTTTTCACAAATCTTCGTTTGAGCAGCATGCAGTTATTTGCACTTATCATCTCGACACACATATATCTCTGTTGACCTTGTGAACACATTTTTTATTCCCGGAAAACCTTACGACATTGTAGCAGTCACTAATTATATTTGTATGTTTCGACGAAACTGGTTGTAGTAGCACTGTTAATGTATTGAACTGATCTGATGAACTTATTGTACCTACTTCCACAAATAAATAGATCTTCATCTTTATCTTTATCAACTGAGAAATCTCTTGAATTTGTCGTCATTTAAAAAAAATAGCTTTTCCTACTGAACATTGTCTTTCCTTAGTTTCATGGTAGGCAATACGTAGATAATTTTAGTAATTACCGAATAATATAACAAATATAACTGAACAGTGTATTTCATGATGTTTTAAGAAAATAAAAATAATATCGACATTTGATTTCTGAGAAATTCATAAATATATATACATAAGCATAGTAATACATACCTGATTATAAAGCTGTATCTCAGGAAGCACGATAACTAATTCAAAACACTGATTACACCAACACAGGCAGGTACACTCGCTCAGTCACGATCAGCTTCTTTTTACGCACTTTTTTCATTGTCTACACACCAATTAATCACAATTCTTTGCATGAGAAATATTGGTTTCGTATAGACAGAAATAGTGTAGTGAGTGAAAACGCGGACCGGCCGCAGCCGAGACGCGAGCGCGCGAACCCCGGTTATTTTTAGCAGCTTTCGTGCATCGCCGCTGAAATTAGATTGTAAATAAAGAGTTTGGGTTAACAGGAGTCGTAGGCCTCATTTACATCCTACATGTGGGTCATGCCTGGCCCACGTTCGCTGATGCATTAACATCTGTGCAGTTACAGCATCAGCTCCGGTGTTTTTGAAGATCCACGTGGGTTCCTGGAGTCTATAAGTCGTTTAATGAGATGTTTCATGGTCGTTGACTACGTTATTAGACACTTTTTACAGAACAGTCATTCACGGTTACACAGATTTAATGATCAAGTAATGGTAAACTTTCAAAAGTTGCTGCTTACACATTTTAAACTAGACGTTTGGTGGTTAGTGGATTCGATGGTAATGGGATTATGCTTGCTAATTAAACACTTCCTTTAGTTCTGCACCTTGTAAGTTTAATTTGCAATATTCAGGTTCAGTTCCGTGAGTATCGATATGGAACGGTCAAAATATTGTGATTTTCACACGAAGAACAGTTGCAAATTTATGTTTTGTTGCGCCGACTCCGGCAATGGTACACTTTTTTCAGAAGTCCGGTAAATGAAATTTTAGTTCCGGACTGATCAGGTATATGGTATTTGAGGTTATCTGATCGGAATAAGAGTGTGTGCAATGTGTAGCCGTGCGACCTGATCAGCGGGCCAGGCTGTACTGACGCCGCCGAGCCGACTTTCACTGGGGGGGTAAGTACCCTTGCCCTGTCGGCTGTCGCACCCTCCACCCTGCGGGTGACGTCACTGGTCGCGTCACGACCTACGGTGCCGTATAAGGCTCGATACTTTGATGGGTTCGTGAAATGTCGCCGGATGCCACGACTCGTTACGTAAAGAGAAATACGAAGGTATGTCCCAAGCTGCCTGCGTAAGCATGGTACGTCACTTTTACATGGTTAAGGTCGTACAAACTATAAATGAAAAAAGGCTCCAAAGGAATGGTTAATTGATTTTATATTTTTATTGTAATAATTCAATAAAATAAACTACTACTAATATTTGGAACATGCTTTTATAACATCTAGCTAAGAACGATAGTTTTCTTTAAAAAATTAAAAATGCAGTGTCGGCGTTTTTAAGTATCATTCTATCCTATCACGCTATTATTTGTAATTATATAGTAGGTAGTCGGTATATTAGTACAGGTGCCTTTTAAAATAGTTTTGTGTAAAACGTAAAGCAAACAAATTATTGAATCTTACAGAAAAAACACGAAAGTAGTTTACTAAAATTACGAGTCCCGTGGGCGTAACACCAATGCTACCCATACGCGACATACAAGTATCGTAAAAAAACATTGACTTGGCGCTTAGGCAAAGCTGACTGTTCAAATACATGGCCTACGCTTGAAGCCTTTGTTGTTTGTAAGTTTAAATCTAAGTTCTTAGTTGGTTTTGACAGCGACTGAACGTTATAGGTGCTTGTGCTCAAAATTGAACACAAAATGCATTGAAGTACGATAGAATTTACAATGTTTTTTATTCGGCGGTTCTATGAATCGAAATTTTTTAATAGAAAATAGTACATTCTACCTTATCGACATGCATTCTATGTCCAATGTGGTGTGTGTGCCAAACACATTGGTATTGCTATAACGGTTACGTCTTACGGTCCCAGGTTTAAATATATAGTTTCTTAGGGAGTAATCTTACCTACGCACTTAGGTTGTAGTGTTCGATAGGGTACCTATTTAGCCTCAAAAGACTCAATAATAATGTTGCATTATGTAATAGTGATTTAATTTAGCAATATGAGTATCAAAGTGTAGGCAGGTACCAAAAAGAATCACTGTTGTGTTGTTGTTACTAAGTAGTTTTTTGTTTTATAGCTGTTCTAATAAATGGTGGTTTCATAGTCAGTAGTGACTAAATAACCACAGAGGAACTATTTACCAAATCAGTGTGAACATTTGTCAACATTCTCAATCTAGATTTAACGCAACCGAATCCAAGCGTCGAACACGTAATGAACTTTGCAAACAAAAGTCTATACTGGACTTAAGCATCTTTGCGCATGCGTGAAACTTATCTCACGTCTTTGTCTTTCAGGCTACTAACTCATATTTTCTGTCTTTGTCTATTTATTTTCTTCTATTTTTCATGTTTGTGGTGCACTCTTGGAACTTATACTCTTAGGATGTCGTGGTAGCCTGGTAGGAGCGACGCCCGTGGAAAATTGTTGCCGCCCTACGGAGCGCCTTTGGGCGGGCTAGGGCGGAGCGCTTCGCTGCAAGTTAAAGAAATGCAACATGTTATGTTATGTATGAGGTTCCGCCTACGCCGAGATCACGTAGAAAGTATCCCCTACACAACCCGTAGCTACCAGTACAGAACATACAATTATGTCCGAACATAATTATAATGTTTCAAAAACTCATGTAAACTGGTAAACCATTTTCTAAACTGGTTGGTGCAGCAAAAACTGCATTATAATAATGTCACAAATACGTGGCCTCGATCTCCTGGATTTATTACTTAGTTGTTTATATACAACACATGCGGTACGGTAGTGGGTGTCTTTCAAGTAACTGAAAACCACGTGGGCTTACATGGACGAAAATTCAGTTGAAGTTAATTATTATTATCACTAATTAGTGATAAAATCAAAAAGCCCTATTCAATTAACTACGTATAATGTCTAGAAATGAGCGTAACGTTTGTAGTCAAAGAACGAAATGTATACACAACCCACGCGAACCTTTCAATTCCGTGCTGACGCAAACGCACGCGTAATTAAGACGAGGTCTTTGTTCACCAACTGTCACCAATAAGATTATCGAAGGATTTCAGCTATTTTTGGAGCTACCTAATTAACCTTGCTTTGTCATGTGAAAATAATAGTGATGCCTTACGATTTTTTTGTTTAAGCCTATATATTATAATATGGTTTGAAAATAAAATATGTATGCCACTTTTTTATGTTCTTAACACCATATATCTACTCGAAAGAGGGTGCAAGTGGCATAAGACTGCTAAGAGGGGCGCCAATGGCTACGCGTGCCGCCCTAACTTCGTAGCAAAGCTGTCTTCGTAGCAATATGGGTTTCGTAGCTAAGCTCTTTTGGAGAGGCGCTTTGGTTTAATTATAGATAAAAGAGTTAATTATTTTTGGTGGATTTTGATTGGATTTATAGATAAGTACTCTTTATACGTATATGTCAACATTTTATTACTTATGCTAATCTAATAAAACATCTAATAAACTGTTTTGCGTTTCCAAAACTTCTGTGAAACCTGTCAAAATTCTACGCTCAGTTCGGCTAAGCAGGTAAGGCACCCTGGCTTTAGCAAACTATGATTTATGGTAACTAATTCTAAAATAAAAGACCTAAATTAGAAGTTCCAGTTACCTCTGTATTAAAATAAATAATTCACTTAAAATAAATTACTTATTAAACTAACTACGAATATCCGGTCACGTTGTTGGTAAATATATACAAATGCTAGTCAACATTAAATACGTCATTTAGTTTAAAAGGGTAAATTCAAGCAAAGTTTGTACAAAAACAGCACCGCTTTTTTAGATCATTCAGCACCTTCTGTTGTGACTATGGCGTCTAAAGTAAAATTTTCTTGAGGTTTATGAAGCCTTAGTAACGTTGCCACGTGACGTCGACACAGCGCCGCCCCACGTCGGTACACTTCGCTTGTGGGCGGGGAGTGTCTTGCCTCAATTTCGGGGAAAGGCAGGATTCTAGCCTCGTACAACTACCTCGCTCCGTAACCACTCCTATTTAATATAAAATAGTCTGTATTCCAAATGTCTTTAACTTAAATTTACAAAGTCACTGTTATCTGAACCTAATATTCGTACTGTTTATACTTTATTGATTATCTAGTGTACAATTGGAGTTCTAACTAAGTGTGTCTTTTCAGAGAACGTCTACATTAAATACGAGGTTCTATTTCTATTTATAAATAGGTACACGATGGAAGAGTTATTTTGGTTAAGATAGTTTGTTTCTCTATTATTATCACGTAACACGACTATATTGAATGCTGCCTTCGATCACGTGGTTCTATCAAATGACGAGCAGACATTCCGGATATGACACTTCTTAGTGTTTGTCTTTGGGGTTATGAAACAAATATGTAGTGTGCCAGACGATCACACCAATAAACCGATTGCCTGGTCAACAAACAAATTAAATCCAGATGTACTTACTACCTAGAACACCCACACCAGTATTGTATAAATGAATTTTTAAAAAGTACAACGGTACTCAAGAACGGTACTGAAAAGTGTCTCTATCCAATGGAGTCAACCCAAGTAAAACTTCTTTGTTGCAGGAAAGATAATTAATTCGCTCGCATCTGTCAAAGCGACAATCAATTCGAGCTCTTTTTAGAAACACATCATATTACGTTTCTTTTTCTGTAACTATCTAGAAAAACAATAATAATCTTATTTATCTGACTGTTACTGACGAAATGTATGCTAAAAGCTAATTTTTGTCTCATAGAGACTTGATCCTTACCAGAAATAGGCTCGAATGGCATGAAAAAAGTTGTGTGAAATTTGTTTTTTATCTTGCTGATTGTATATTTTTTAATTCCTGTGAATGCCAATCGAATTACTTTTAAACTTCATGGAGAGTCTCGAATTTAGGACCGTTTTTCTGTAGCTATAACGGTTAAGATAACTGACCTTTCTGACCATCTCTTTCCACCTTAAGCAGATATAACTAGATAACTATTTGTATTTTTTACTTTTAAATAATTCGATCAAAATAGTATTTGCACTGATAGTTAATGAACTATTTATTATAAATAATGATTTAAAAATTGTTAGTAAATAAGCGAATTTGTTGAGTACGTATGTATTCACATAAAGATTTAGAAATACATAAATAAATAGTAAAGGGTTTCATAAAAAGGGTCATTAGCTACCCCTTATAGATTCATCTTCATTCCGCGTCTTGCCAGAATTTAAAAGTATGTATTTCAACTTTTTACTCGTAAAGATGGAGAAAAGATATTTCTTATTAGTAATTCTACTTTAAAAGTCAAAGTCAAAGTCAAAGTATTTATTGCTTTCATGTGTTACAAATGATCTTAAAGCTAAAGAAGTATCAACATGACCCTGTTAGGGCGCCGCAATTTAACCATATGTACTTAAACAATATCTTTTCTTTTCTAAATAAAAAAAAAACATTACCTAAAGTTACTTTTAAAGACTAGATTATAAATCAAATTAGCAGCAAGTAAATTGAAAATATATAGCTGACATTTCACAAATTTCTTCCTCTCAGTAGGTGCAAATGGGATTAAATTATTACAATCATTCTTCAAAATATTGTTTCAAGCTATAGTAACATTTTTCTATTAAATGAGCCTTAAGTTGCTTGATGAATAAATTATATTTACTTTGTGATGAAATCTCCTTTGGAATTTTGTTGTAAACTTTAATGGCCATTACATAGGGTCCTTGATTATACATTTGTAATTTCGACCTAGGTAGTGCCAATCTATTTTTATACCTGAGGTTCAATGGCCGGGTGTAGTACGTGTCCTTTACTTCAGTGAAATATTGATTATTTTTTTTAACAAATTTACACATTTCTAAAATGTATAAAGACGGTATTGTCAGAATTTTTAATTTTATAAAGTGCGGCTTACAACTTTCCTTCGGGTCGATAATTACTAGTATTC